TCTGCTACATGGTCTTCGGTAACTTGTGTCTGCTACAGTGTCTGGATCTTGGCATCTTGGCACTCTCTCACACACACACACACACACACACACACACACACACACACACATGTATGCACACATATACACATACACACGTGTATACGTGTACACATACACAGATATGCTCACGCGCGTCGCATATGCACATATGCTGACACACACATGCAACACAAGTGCATGCACATACAAGCATGCATGCTCACATTCACAGATGCACACAATACACTCACATACCTACATATGGACACACACTTAGGCATACACATGTACACATACACAGGCAAACACGTGCACACACAGAACTCACACTTACACATGCATACACACACACACACACACACCCCTCTGGCTGCTCTCTGAGGCCTGGGTTCTCACAGAGGAGCCTCTCAGGGTACATACCAGGCACAGAAAGCCGGCACCGCCTCTGGCTTCATGCTCAGGAGGGAGACCACAGCTGGGGTGGCTGCTCGAGGTGCCGGGGGTCCTGGGGTTCTGGTGGACACACTGGACGCCGAGCAGGACTCCCGGCCTTCCAAAGTAAACACTCCCCGGGCCACCTCGTTTGTTCTCTGTGCGCATCTATATTTAGCGCTGAGTAATTTAGGTATTTTTGAGCCGAAGCAGGGAGGTTTTCCCTGAGTTGGATGTTTTGTGGCTGCTTTGAAGCTCTCTGCTGAATCAGAGCTCTGGAGGCCCACACATGGGCTCTGTGCACCCGGGCAGACACACTCGGGCCTCCTCTGACCCAAAAGGGGGCCGGGTGTCTGCGGGACTCGGGGAGCAGGCCATGTGGAGGAGTGTGTTTTTTTTTAACTTTGGTGGAGATCACTGTAGATTCACATGCAGTTGTAACACATCAGAAATTCCTTGTAACATTCACTCTGTTTTCCCAAATGCTAATTTCCCGTCTTTCCATTGAATTTATTGGGGTGACATTGGATAATAAAATTATATAGGTTTCGGGTGTACAATTCTATAATACAGTGATGGCGAACCTATGACACGCGTGTCAGAAGTGACACGCGAACTCATTTTTTTGGTTGATTTTTCTTTGTTAAATGGCATTTAAATATATAAAATAAATATCAAAAATATAAGTCTTTGTTTTACTATGGTTGTAAATATCAAAAAATTTCTATATGTGACACAGCACCAGAGTTAAGTTAGGGTTTTTCAAAATGCTGACATGCCGAGCTCAAAAGGTTCGCCATCACTGCTATAATACATCACCTGTATATTATATTATATTGTATGTTCACCACCCCAAGTCGTCTCCTTCTATCACTTTTTATCCCCCCTACTCCTTTTCCTACTTCCCTTGACCCCCCAACTGATAATGTTTTGTCAAAGTCCCTTGTCAATATCACAGCCCGGATTTTGGCATTGATATAGCCCACTGACCCTATTCAGATTTCTGCGGGGTTTTGTGTATGTATGTTAAGTTCTATGCAAGTTTATCACCTGGGCAGGTGCATGGACCCACCACCACCCAAGATAAGCCCCATCTCCAGAGCCACGGAGATCTGGTGTCACCCTTTTCTCCCAGGCCGCAACCCCAACCCAGCCCCAGCAGCCCCCCATCACGCCTTCATCCTCACAACCTTGTCATCTCAAAAATAGCCCATAAATGGCACCACGCAGCTTGTAACCTCTAGGGATCGGCTTTGTTCACTCAGCAGAACTCTCTGGAGCACTGTCCAAGGCGTGTTGATCAACAGTCCACTCCTTTAGATTCCAAAGAACTTTTCTGAAAATCTGCTTTTTTAAAAAAAAAATATATATATATTTTATTGATTTTTTACAGAGAGGAAGGGAGAGAGATAGAGAGTTAGAAACATCGATGAGAGAGAAACATCGATCAGCTGCCTTCTGCACATCTCCCACTGGGGATGTGCCTGCAACCCAGGTACGTGCCCTTGACCGGAATCAAACCCGGGACCCTTCAGTTGGCAGGCCGACGCTCTATCCACTGAGCCAAACCGGTTTCGGCAGAAAATCTGCTTTTAATGTCTGAAGCCACCTGGCCCTCCTGACTACCAAGCAGACAGTGATGCAGTGCATGGTGACAGAGAGAGAGTGTTAGTTACCTGGCTAGAAGTCGGCCTGGCTGGGGCGGGGACTTCCCAGGACTCTTGAACTTGGATTCTGCACCCTCTACCCGACCCGACCCCTCGGGCGTCCTGGGCACTATGGGGGGGGGGGGGTTTGAGCAGCATTCCTGGTCCCCACCTCCCACACCCCCATGCTAAGAGCAACCCAATGTGACAACCGCAGATGTCCCTGGACATCATCCCAGTGCAGAACCACACCACTGGGGCCCCCTAGATGAAGGTTGGGTGAAAAGGTAGAGTTTTCACTGCCTTAAGGAACAGAGAAGAATTTGGATAACTGAATTACAAAAACAAGTTAACATCACTCATACATCGCTGGTGGGGTTGTAAAATGGTACAGCCACTCTGGAAAACAAGTTGGCATTTGCTTTCAAAGTTAAGCCTGCAGCCACACTGCTCAGCACCCACCCCAGAGAAATAGACAATGTTCACGCGAAGGCTGATGGCAGCTTTACTCGTGATGGTGCACGGGTCATGGTTAACCGGTGCACAGCCCTGTCCTGGAGCACGACTCGGCTGTGGGAAGGAATGAGCCACAGCGACAAGCAGCACCCAGAGAATGACACCAAGTGGAGGGAAGTTACATACCAAACGCTTGCATTTACTTAACACTCTCCAGATGGCAAACTTGTGGAGAAAGAGAACCTACAGTGGTCGCCAGAGATGGAGGTGGGTGAGGGGACCTGGGTGTGGCCATCTCAGGGCCATAGGAGGGGCCTGTGTCTTTCCTGCATTGGTGCCAGCATCCTGGCTGTGATCTCACCAGTTTGCCATCCTTGGGGAAAACTGGGCAAAGTGCGGGTCTCTTTCTATCGTTTCTTACAACTGCATGTGAATTGACAGGCATCTCAAATTTTAAAATCTAATTTAAATTCCTAAAAATATTTTGGAAGGACCATGAAAACCATCCCAAATAAGAGCAGAGCGGGAATTGTTGGCATAATAAAGGGTGAGCCTTCTTTTGGGTGAGGAAGCAGAAGGGAGGTGCTCTGATTCCCTAAACTGTGACATGTGACACCGATTCCTAAGGGTGCTGGGGAGACAGGTCCACAGGCAGAATTTGGTGCAGAACAGACAGCACGAGATCTCTCGCCCTGGATCTGAATTAGCGGAAGGTCGACTGGGGGCGGGGGAGGGTTTATCTGGACTCCACCCACGCGAAGTGGGTTACTCCAAGCGCACTGTCCACACCCAGGGGAACTGCAGGTCCCAACATCTGCGTCCGCTCCGGACTTCAGAAGGGAGCCTATCTCGAAACCGAGATGCAAATGTAATGAGTTAAGACGAGGTTACACTGAGCCCAGTGATTACTGTCCTTACAAGATGAAAATATGGACACAGACACAGAGGCCATGTGACAACAGAGGCAGAGATGGGGGTGATGCAGCCACAAACCAAGGGGGACACCAAGTATGACCCCCCGCCAGGAGAGGCAGGAAGGACCCTCCCTGGAGCCCTCAGAGGGAGCACAGCTCTGCATCACCTTGATTTCAGACTCGGCCTCCAGATGTGAGAGAGTGAATTTCCGTTGTTGTAAGCCATCCGGTGGGTGGTTGTCATGGCCACCCCAGGACGCTAATGGAGGAGCATGAGTCCCAGCACATCAGAAAGCTCTGGGAACCCTGCAGAGCCAAGCGGGCTCCCTGGGTCTCTGGCAACCACTGTCCCGGAGTTTCTGACATAAATTCTGTCCCCCACCCCCCTCAAAGCCACTCCAGAGCAGGGAAGAGCCAGCACGTTCCGCTCTGCCCCTGCCCTGGCAGCAGGGTGTGGAAGCCCAGGTCATGGGCCAGCTGGTTCCAGAGGCAGCCAGGCTGAGGTGTGGGGTGGGCCGGGAGGAAGGGCAGAAATCTGAGCCAGGCGCCCACAAGCACAGGACCGCCGTCAGCTCAATCCTCAGAGCTATGCCTGGCATGTGGCAAGACATTCTCTGTGAGATTTTACTGAGCAAACAAACGAGTGAATGAAGGAAGGAATGAAATAGCCCCCGCCCTCCCTGGCCGGTTTGGCTCAGTGGATAGAGCATCGGCCTTCGGACTGAAGGGTTCCAGTTTTGATTCCGGTCAAGCGCACATGCCCGGGTTGTGGGCTCAATCCCCAGTAGGGGGAATGCAGGAGGCAGCCAGTCAATGATTCTCTCTCATCATTGATGTTTCTCTCTCTCTCTCTCTCCCTCTCCCTTCCTCTCTGAAATCAATAAAAATATATTTTTAAAAAATAAAAAAGAATTTTAAAAGCCACTAAAAAAAAGAAAAAGAGGGGGGGGGTGATACCTCAGGTGTCCCCGGTGATCTGCCTCAGACAGCCCAGGGGTCTCAGCCAGGGCGATCTGCCCCTCAGGGGAGACTGAGCCAAGTCTGGTGACAAATGCAGTCATCCCGACTGGGCGTGCTCCTGGCATCAGGAGGGTGGGGCCAGGGCTGCTGCTCAACACCCTGCAGGGCCCAGGATGGCCCCGCCCCAGAGAGTGGCCCAGCCCCACTTCCAGAGACCCTGGGGAGGGAGCAGGGCCCAAGGACACTGGTACTTTTTCCTGCCGAGTCCCTCACCTGGAGCCAACCAGGAGTCATGCATTGGTTTCATGAACTCCGGGGGACCCTTGATGGTCACAACCAGAGATTGGCCACAGGAGGGAAGTGGGCAAAGAGGGGTTCAGCCGGGCCTCCCTGTACGACCTGAGGACACAGACAATGTGGCCAGTCCCTAGAGCGGAGCTGCAGGGTTCGGGGAGGGGGTGGGCGGGTGGCCAGAGAGCTCCCAGAATGGGCGGTGTCCTGCCTCTCCATCCTCAGCTGCCTGAGGTCCTGGGGTCTCCCAGCCGGCTCACGCTGTCTGCTTCCCTCACAGCTATCTGGACGACAGGGCCAGAGCTGATGGCAGACCATGTCCGCCACTAACAACATCGCCCAGGCCCGAAAACTGGTGGAGCAGCTCCGCATCGAAGCCGGGATCCAGCGTATCAAGGTGAGCAAGGCAGCAGAGGACAAGGGAGAGACACACAGGCGCGGGGTGGGGGGAGTTTCAGGGGGACACCCATGGCCCACAGCGGCAGGAGGATGGGCTGGCCCTGCAGCTGTGCCTTTCCCTGTGCAACCTCAGGCCACCCAATCTCTCTAAGCCTCCGTTTCCTCAGTAGAAACACACAGCTGATAGAAAGCCACCACGTGGGTTGTGGTGATCCCATTGCCACAGCGATTTATAAACACTGACCTCGCCGCCAGCCCCTGCGGTCCTGCCTTGGAAGCCCCAGTGAGGCCACCTCAGGCCCTCCTGAGGACCAACATGAGGCAGGCATTCTCTCTCTTCTGTCCCCTCATCTCCCTCATTACAAGAGGCAGATAGGAGAGACCGAGCTTCTCACCGCCTGCTTTCTTCACCTCTGCGCTGTGTGAAGTTTTTGAAATAAGCATGTTTGCTTTCTATGCTAAAAAAAGAAAAAGGACAAGCAGTTTCTGTTCACAGACACTTAACCCATCGGGGACCAGAAACACGCAGAGCAAAATAAAAGCGTGCAGCATTGCACCATCAGCTCTGCAGACGGAGATTTAAAAAAATAATAATTTGCATAACATCCAGTTAACCATATATTTTGAAGTGCACAATTCCGTGGCATTGGGTGCATTCACAATGTGCAACCATCCCCTCCGTCTAGTTCCAGAACGGCCCATCACCCCAAAAAGAAACCCTGTCCCCCTTAGCAGTCACCCTCGTCCCCCTCCACAACCCCTGCCAACCAGCAGCCCACTTCCTGTCTCTGTGGATGTGCCTGTTCTGGGCAGTTCACATTGATGGAATCACACACTGGGTGGCCTTTTGTGTCTGGCTTCTCACACTGAGCATCATGTGTTTAAGGTTCATTCACGTTGTAGTGAGTGTCAGTGCCTCACCCCTTTTCATGGCTGAGTCATACTCCAGCGTGTGCACGGACACATTGTGTTTATGTAGATGAACTGTCAGTATGAGGGGACATCAGGACAACATCCAGGGCACACAGGCTTCCTCCTTTCCAAGGACATAGACCAACGGGCTGCACATAAGAAAGGTACCTGACCTTTTCAAAGGCCCCGTCCCACCAAGCCCATGTCCCCTTTGCAAAGGACGGTGAGGTGGCTCCAAGAAGCTGTTTCCTGTCCCAGACCCCAGCGTGCAGACAGCCTGGTGAGTCCCAGGGAGTCTCCATCTAGAAGGCCCCAGTGCTTTGCGCTTCTGGATTAGCCCTGCTCCAGCTACCTAGTGGTTAGTCAGGGATCGCCAGAGAAATAGAACCAACAGAATATGTGTACATATCTATAGAGATAGAGATAGAGATAGAGATAGAGATAGAGATAGAGATAGAGATAGAGATAGAGATAAAGGGAGATGCATTTTAAGGACTTGGCTCATGCCATTGCAGGGCTGGCAAGTGTGAAGTCTGCAGGGCAGGCCCGCAGGCTGAAGCCCACGGAAGGGTCAGCTTTGCAGCTCGAGCGCCAAGGCCGTCTGGAGGCAGAATTCTCTCTCCTGTGCAGGGACCTCAGTCTTTTCTCTTAAGGCCTTCAGCTGATTAGGTGCAGCCCGCCTACATTAGAGAGGCTAATCTGCTCCACTCAAAGCCGACGGATTTAAATGTTATCTATAAAGTGTGTTCATAGAGACGTCGGGAGTGGCATTAGATGAAACACAAAACCAGCTACAGTACCAGCCCACGTATCTGTTCAGACTCGCTTTCCTGGGCATCTGTCATGCCCCAGTCGCTGCTGCTGGTCTCGGGGATTCGTTAGGAGGGGATGGCCCGGCCAGGCGCAGGCAGACTCACACCTGAGGGCCAGGCGGGAGTGGTTTTGATGTCCCCCCGCCCTTGCCTCCACCAGCCAGTGGGAGTGGGGGAGGGCTGCTGCAGGGGGCCGGGGAGTGCCTCCCAGGAGGTGGCTGAATGTTCCAGAACTCTGCACATTCAAAGCATTCCTTCAGGCTGAAGAAAGAGCAGGGCCGGTTGAAGTGGTTTTCCTTTGTGCGTGGTGCCAGCGCCCAGCCTGGTGGAGGGTGATTCATCCCACCCCTTTGATGTTCAGGAGCAGCCCCCCCCCCTTTGAAAGTGGGAAGGAGGGGAATCGGGAGGTAACCCACTCTCCCTCTAGTCCCGCCTGAGGTTTTGCATCCCCCGCAAAGCGGTGACCGGACCCACAGAGCATCAGCCTGCCTGAAAGGCCCGCCGGCCGTGGCCTGGCAGAGCAGAGGTGCCCAGGGTCTGGATGTGCGGCCGTGCAGTGGCCCCGGCACTGTGGGCAGAGCCTTCCTGTCAACGCCAGGGATGGGCGGGGGGGCACAAGCCGGAGCCACAGCATCAGCTATTTTAGGGCCCGGTGACTATTTCTGTCCTCTGGGAGGGGTGCTTTCCAAATAGGACTCTAGAAGCCAAGCTCCGTCTGCTCATCAAAGGCAGCTTCCCAGCAGTGGCCGCTGTCGCTGTCTCGGGCGGGAGCATCCCCCAGCACAGGGCAGGGGGGTGTCCTTGGCGTTCAGGTGTGCAGTGCTGCAGACCCACCCAGCAGCCCCTGCACGGCTCGTTGCCCTCTGGCCTTACAGGTGAGAAAGCAAAGGGGCTGAGAAAGCAAAGGGAGCCCTATGGGCAGACAGCTCCTGCCCCTGGGATGGGATCCAGGGACCCACAGGCATCCTGTTCACCCTGGCCGAGGGTACCTGCAACCCAGCCCCCCAGCCCTGCGGAGGCAAGCAGAGGGGGATGGCCCCTGCAGCACCCCCCACAAATGCGTGACCCGGAGGAACAGGGCATGTGGTCCAGAGGCACCCTTTGTAGTGACCCTCAGCTCCCCGGATGCTAAATGCCCGGTTTTCCCCATTCAGCCTTCCGGGGACCCTCCCTTCGCCTCCCTCCCCTCTTGGGGGCTCTGATGTAGGTGGTCCTAAGGGTCAGTGCCCTCCCTGGGTCACTGGACCCCCGTGGGTTCAGGGTGCACAGGTAGGAAATGCAGACAGGCTGGTGTTGTGCCCCTCGATCATGCTGGTGTCCAAGCAGGGGTCTCACTGCTCAGTCCGTCCTCGGGTGGGATGGTGTCTTAGGCTGACTCCTAAAGAGGCTGCATCTCATTCTGACCTTTTCTGTTCAAAATCAGGGCAACTCCTGTTGTAGGAGGCTCAGGCCCTCTTTTCCAATCTTTTAATAATTGTGGTAAAATATACAACATAGCCTGGTCGGCATGGCTCGGTGGTTGGGCATCGACCTGAGAACCAGGAGGTCATGGTTCCCTCCCGGTCAGGGCACACGCCTTGGTTGCAGGCTCGATCCCCAGTTCCAGGGCGTGCTTGAGACAATCAATGATTCTCTCTCACCATTAATGTTTCTATCTCTCTCTCCCTCTCCCTTTCTCTCTGAAATCAATAAAAATATTTTTTTTTAAGAATACACAATCTAAACTTTATCATTAGTGGCATCCTATATAATAAAGAGGTGATATGCAAATTAACCCTCATGCCCTCACAAGATGGCTGCCTATAACCAGGCCAGCAGGGGGGTTAGTGAGGGATGACCAACAACTGAACAGCAGGCTGTGTGGGGCAACCAGGCTGGCGGGGGGACCGTGACGGGCAACCAGGCCGGCAGGGGAGGCAGTTAGGGGTGACCAGGCCAGCAGGGGGGGAGGGGGGAGCAGTTAGGGGCGATCAGGCTGGCGGGGGGGGGGCAGTTAGGATCGATCAGGCTGGCAGGGGAGGGCAGTTAAGGGCAACCAGGCCGGCGGGTGGAGGGGGGGGCAGTTAGGATTGATCAGGCTGGCAGGGGAGGGCAGTTAAGGGCAACCAGGCAGGCAGGCAGGTAAGCAATTAGGAGCCAGCGGTCCAGGATTGTGAGAGGGATGTCCGACTGCTGGCTTAGGCCCAATCCCCAGGATCAGGCCTAAGCCAGCAGTCGGACATCCCCCAAGGGGTCCTGGATTGGAGAGGGTGCGGGCTGGGCTGAGGGGACCCCCCCTCCCCTGCACAGATTTCATGCACTGGGCCTCTCGTCTAGTATATTTGGTGCTGTGCAGTCATCACCTCTATCCAATTCCAAATCATTTCATCATTACAGACAGAAACCTCGTCCCATCAGTAATTACCCTACATCCCCTCCCCCAGCCCCTGGCAACCACTGAATTTCACTTCCTGTCTCTGTGGATGTGCCTGTTCTGGGCATTTCACATAAATAGAATCGCACACTGTGTGGCCTCTGTGCCTGGCTTCTCTCACTGAGCATCACATGTTCGAGGTTCATCTATGTTGTAGCGGGTGTCAGTGGCTCGCTCCTTTTCACGGCTGAGTCATACTCCAGTGTGTGCAGGGACACTGTGTTTGTCCATCATTAGCTGGTGGACACTTGAGCAGTGTCCACCTTTCAGCCGTGGTGAATGTGCTGCTGTGAACACACGTGAATCAGCCTCTGACCTGTTCTCTCTCGCCCCTGTGCCCACGCTCAGGTCTCCAAGGCCTCGTCAGAACTCATGAGCTACTGCGAGCAGCATGCCCGGAACGACCCCCTGCTGGTCGGAGTGCCTGCCTCCGAGAACCCCTTCAAGGACAAGAAGCCTTGTGTCATTCTGTAGCTCGGTTTCCTCCTGTGTTTGCTCTCTGTGTGTCTCTCTCTCCCTCTCTCTCTGTCTCTCCCCAAAACCCTTCTCTCTCTCTCTCTGTCAGGGCGTCATTCAGTATGTAGTCAAAGCAAAGCATTTGGGGTCCCTGGAACTTTTAATGCCAAAAGAAATGTCAAATGTTGCCACCGCCCAGATGGAGTAAACGTACCCGCTGGGTAACGATGGGTTTTCAGACTGAGGCGCACAGACCGCAGGCCTGGCCGAGAGATGGGTGCTGGCTGCACACCTCCTGCCACTTAGGGAGAACTGAGAGGCCCAAACGATGCGGTCGCCGTATTTTTAAACGCTCACTTGCCATTTGAGCTGTGGTCCAGAGCCAAGCTGGTCAGAGAAGGGACCGGAAGGGGGCACTGGCCGCTGGTCCCGGAGGACCAGGGCGACCTGGCCGGCTGGCCGTCCTCACACAATTGGCCACTTGTAAAAAAAAAAAAAAAACTACTGCTACAGTGCTGCTGCTTTTTTAAAGCAGAGTGAAATTTGGGGGTTGGGGGCTATAATGAGCTTTTCAGGAAAAATCTTATCATTGAAAAGGTTGTGATTCTGTACTGCTAAAGTCAGGTTTCCACGGCCGAGCGGTGCTGTGTAATAGTGCCAAGTGGGTTTGAGGGGCCCGGAGGGGGCTTGGCCTGGGAAACGCACCCTGGTCCCCTGTGTTGCCAAGCGTCGCCCTGCTGAGTGGCATGGGTTTGGCATGTGTCGCTGGACAGCCGCGCGTGACCGCCCTCCCTGGAGACCCCACCCACCCCGGGAAGGGGTTTTCAGCCGCTTGCCCTGGTCCCTGGAGTGGCCAGCTGGGCTTCATTTTGTTCTAAGCACCTGACATTGATGTGGGCGAGTAGAAGCTGCGATCAGATTAGGCTCTTCAGGGTTTTCTGTTTTATTTTGGTTTTTCTCCACTTTCACTTATCGCCATGGCCGCTATTCAGAGCTGCAGCCTGGTGGGCAGGGCCGCGGGCGGGGTGACATGGTCTGGAGTAGCTGGGAGGCCTCCGAGCTCTCTGCTCACTTCCACACCCCTCAGACCCAGAACTCTGGCTGGAGAAAGTGAGAGGCACAAAGTACAACTCATCACTCTCCCCAACCGCCTGGGAAATGTGGTTCGTCATGGAGTCCCAGCTTGGGAACGGAGGAGGGGGGGGCGGGGGGGGCGTTTTTTTAAATCACTTTTTCCTCTGTTACGACATGGACAGTTAAAGGAATAAGAGGATGGGGCCCCCTCCTCCCCTGCCAGTGCCACCCATGGCTGCCAGGACCCCATACAGCCTTGGACTCAGAGGTTCCCGCCTGCCCCGTGAGGGGGCCAGTGGCAAACTGTGGGAAGAAAGGAGCCCAGCGCTGCCCCTGTGGCCCCAACAGACGTCAGCGCCTGAGGCCGCGCCAGCGGGGTCCTGGACAGCCGCCAGGCCCGGGCCTCACCTCACAGCCGGGGCCACGGGCCGATCCTGCGGAGCTAAGAAGGCCCCGGGGTGACCCTCCATCAGCTCCCACAGGGTGCAGGCCGGGGCTGGCTCTCTCCCCGGCGCCCAGCTCTCCCCAGCCGGTCTGGGAGCATCAGGGGCATTGGGGAGCCCGGCACTTCCGGACCTGCCATTGGTCAGGAAAAGCCGTGGGGTAGCCATGCTGCCGCCGCCTTTCACTGCACAGGAAGCCTGTGGCCGGAGCCTCTCACTGTCCCCAGCACCCCGTTCTAGGGCCCAGCGGGAATGACCCCCGAGGGCAGAGAGCAGGCCGCAGAGCGAGACATGCCCTTCCCCCCAGCCATCTGGTGACTGATTACCTGTGCGCACCCTTTGCTCTGTGACAGAAGCCTTAACCCCCTGAGCCTGCATCAGGTCCTTGCACGCCCATCCTCCTTCCTGGGCCCTCCACTGTCTGGCCACCGGACCCCAGAGAGGACAGGAGGCCCCATCTCGCCCAGGGGCCCAGACCTCCCCTTTCTCTGCGCCCCCTGCCTGCCGGCCACCTAAGCCCTGCCCCAACGTGTGTCCCGGACCCCAGGACTCCAGAGAAGCAGGTGGGAAGCAGAGCCGAGGGCCCTGGCTGAGGGAGGTGGGGTTGAACCCGAGTTCGTAGCTCCATGGCCTGCTATGGGCTCAGCCTGCCAACATGTTCCACACCCCACGCCCCTCATCCCCAGCCCTGAAGCAAACTCCAGCCTGGGCCTGGGGAGGCTTCTGAGCCAGAAAACCTAGGGTCTGAGTGGTCTGGGTAAACTGAGGCCCAGCAAGGTGAGGACAGTCAGTTTCCCGCCCTATTGCCCTACCTGCTCAGGTGCCCACAACCTCCGACCCCAGGGAGGTGGCCATCGGCTGGAGTCCCACTGTGGTTTTTGTTCGAGCTGAGAAAAAAACAAAGATCCTTTTTAAAATTTAGAGTCAATCTCACTGTCCATAGTGTCCCCTAAAGCAGCAGGGCACTCACGACAACGTAAGCTGCTGTGCTCTCCTGACACAAGCATCCGCCGTGGAAACGTGGCTTTCAAGGCACTTGGGGTCTAGAAGTGCCCCTTGCGTCAGGGAGCAGCACAGGCCTTGGGGAAACCAGCATCTCCAACTGTGTGTGTGGGGGGGGACGGGGGGACGGGAAGGGAGACGCAGAATCAAGGATACAGACACAGAAGGCAGGCGTGAGGGTGCGAAGTCTCTTCTGCAGTCAGTCGGTCAGTGTTTCCAGTGGCCGGCGCTCCTGGCCTGGCCAAGCCGCTGCTCTCCCCCCAACTCCGCCCCCCCCGACCCCCAGGAAGGAGCTAGACCACGCACCCTGCCCCATCCTCCCAAAGGTGACTCCCAGGCCAAGAATGAAGTGACTTGGTTGTGACCTCCAGCCCCAGGGGATGTAAACCCGCTGGGCTGGGCCGAAGGAGCTGCCTTTCCGGCTTTGATGTCCCTGCCACTGCCCAGGACCGCCCTGGGCCTCCAGGCAGCTCATCGTCTGGTGAAGAGCCCCCCTGCCCGCACTCTGGGCCCAGGACAGGGCCCTTGGTGTCTCACACTCTCACCCCAGGGGCAGTTTGTCTGGTGAAGAGCCCCCCTGCCCGCACTCTGGGCCCAGGACAGAGCCCTTGGTGTCTCACACTCTCACCCCAGGGGCAGTTTCTGGCCCAAGTGGAGCCACCGAAAGACACTCCTCCTTCAAGCGCACTTGTAAAAAGCCAGCCTGCACCGTCCCCTGCAAACAAGCCATATGTGGGACACGTACCCTCTTCCTCTGTCCAGGGAACCCATTACCAACCATTGTGACAACTTGCTTCTGGTCTGAGAAGCAATCTGTGGCTCTGCTGGGTCCTACTCCATCTGCCTTCAGATGCCTGGTGGTTTTTATTTCTGATTAAAAAAAAAACAAAACAACTCCAGGTGTGTCACACCCACTTTCTCGCAGTATTTTGATATTGTGTGGAATTGTCAATACAACGTGAATTAATCCACAATAAAAAGGCTCACTGTTCCTTGTCTCCAGTCTGGGCCCTTCCTTCGCTCCCTGGCCACTGCTGGGAGGGTGGGGCTGCCCGCATCGTGCCCCCCCAGCCTGCGCCAGGAAGAGGCACCCGGGCTGGAACCCACTCCAGACAGCACTCACCAGTGGCCGCCGCGTTGACGGGCTTTGTGATCTGTAGCTAGAAAATGCAGGGGAAAGGCTGTGTGCATGAGCCATGTGCCCACAGATTGGGAGTGTTTGTCTGGCATGGCCCTTCGAAAGGCTCAGAGCCTGGGAAGATCTTAATCTCACCCCCACTCGCCAGTCACCCAGAAACTACCCCGACCACCAGAGAGACTCCAAGGAAGACCAGTGAGCGGTGGCCCAACTCACCTCACACCATAAAGAGTTACCATTTTAATAATAAATCTGCAGATGGGTGATTCTGACCTCTAAGGAGAGAAGAACTTTCTCTGTATAAAACATTAGTAAATTCAACTACATAAAAATCATCCCTTGTGTATCAAAAATTGTAAGATTAAAAGCAGTTCAAAACCCAACAAAATTATCGCATGACCCAGCAGCCCCATTTCTAGGTATGTGCACACAAAAGCACCGAAAACAGGGACCCAGGAGGGATTACACACCTGTGTTCACAGCAGCATGATTCACAACAGCCAAAAGCTGTCCAAGGGTGGCTGAATGGGTCTACACCCTGTGGCCGTCCACACACGAGTATTGTTCAGCCCTAAAAGGACATTCTGACACCAGCTACCATATAGGTGAGCCTGAGGACATTACACTCAGGGAAATAGGACAAATACTGTGTGATTCCACCGTGAGGTCCCGGGAGGGGTCAAGTTCATAGAAAGATGGCGGGAGCCAGGACCGGAGGGGGGTGGGGGATTAGGGTTTCGCAGGGACAGTGTCTCTGTAGGAAGGTGAGAACGTGCTGGAGACGGACGGTGGAGAGAGTCACATGACACTGAGTGCACATCACACTGCGGAATGTGCACTTAATGGTTAAAATGCTAAATGTTATGTAAATTTTACCAGAAACAAAACAAAACAAACAAAAAAAAACCACCTTCCCCAACACTGGCCTGAGGCCTCACATGTAAAAGACTGGCCTGGCAGCCCGGACGCGCAGCTTCCTGGTGATGGTGAGAAACGCTAGCACCGCTTTGGGAAAAGGTCTGGCAGTTTCTTACAAAACTAAACACACCTCCTCCCTGACCCCACTTGTGTTTGCCCAGGAGAAATCAAAGCGTGTCCACAAAGTCTTGGAAGGAATGTTCAGGACAGCTCTTCTCAGAACCGTCCCAATCTGGAAACCGCTCAGTACTCACTAGCAGGTGAGTGGATAGACGAACTGTAGTCCATTCAAACCCCAGTCCACCCAGCATATAAGGCAGCGGTTCTCAACCTTGGCTGCACATGAGAATTTCCTCCGGAAATTCTGTTTCTTTGTTATGGTGTGGGGCCACAACATGAGTAACAAAGAAACAGAATTTCCAGAGGATGAGGCCCAGAAATCGGGATTTTAAAAAGATTCCCAGGTGATTCTCGTGTGCAGCCACGGTTGAGAACCACTGAAAAGGAATACGCTAACACTACGTGCAATCAGCTGAGCAGCTCACAGAACTCCCCACCCCGCGAGGTCCGAGCGGAGGGCCTGCGCCCAGGCTGTGCTGTCAGGAGAGTGACCCCCAACGACGTCCGCATTCCTAGTCTCCGGTCCCTGTGGGTGTCACCTTCCACGGGGTAAAGGGGACTTCACAGGTGGGAGTAAGTCAAGAACCCTGAGATGGGGGCGATACTGGGTTCCCCGGCGGGCCCAGTGTTCTCAAAGTGCCCTCATGAGAGGGAGGAAGGAGGGTAAGAGTCCGAGATGGAAGAGGCTGCGCTGCTGGCTGTGAAGACGGAGGGAGGGGCCACGAGCCGGGGATGCGGCGCGTCTAGAAGCTGGAAAAGGCAGGAAAGAAGCCAGTTTGAAAAACCTATACTCTATGATTCCAACTCTATAACATTCTGGAAAAAAAGGCAAAACTATGGCGGTGGTTAAAAAGATGAGGAGTTGAGCCCAGCCTGTGTGGTTCAGTGGTTGAGCATCAACCTAAGAACCAGGAGGTCACAGTTCGATTCCCGGTCAGGGCACATGCCCAGTTTGCCGGCTCCATCCCAGTAGGGGATGTGCAGGAGGCAGCCGATAGATGATTCTCTCTCATCATTGATGTTTCTATCTGCCTCTCCCGTCCTCTTTGAAATCAATACGAATAGATACTGTTTTTAAAAAGATGAGTTGGGAGAAGGATGACTAGGGGAGCACAGGGGACTTTTAGGAAGTGACGCTTCTGTAGGACATGGTCATGGTGAAGACACAACTTGGCAAGCCTCACCGAATGTAGTGAGCCTGTTAACCATGGGCCGCGCGGCACGCAGAGCAGAATACAGACACCCTGGCCCCACGGAGAGGGAAGCGTCGGGCCACGTGGTCCAGTGGAGAGACGCTGGCCTGGAAAGGAGGGAGGGTATGACCTTGTTCCTCACTGGGTGGGAGCGGGACGCCCAAAGGAAACACATGTTGCCTTTGCAGAGAGTAAACAAATTCAAAATGATCATCAGAGGCGTTGTGTTCGGGCTGCTTGTTAGAGAAGACTTTGGGGATCGAAACATGTGGAAGGGAGCAGGGTGACCCCAGGCTTCCCCAGGGGATGCAGGCCTTCGTACCCTGATCCTGAGCAGCCATTGGATGGGCTGCCTCCAGAAGGCTGTGACCTTGGGCCAGGAGGCTCTCTGCAGCTGAAGCAATTCCTGCAGGGGCTGACGACGGAAGGATCTCCCCTGACAACACTCCCAACAGCCAGGGCAACTCGTCCTTCCTTCCAGCGATGTGGGCAGTGCATCCCAACACCCACCAGACTCGCCTGTCCGCAGCGTTCATCGTTAACATTCTTCTGCACATAAACATTTGGCACCAAGCAACTCCACTGAAGAGAAACCTTTGGAAGTGACCGGCACAAATGAGAGGAAGGGAACAGAGTAACACCCGCCAGCCTTCACATTGCACACATTTATTTACAATATTTAGAAAGTCTGTTTTCATACCGAAGAAAGGGTGAGACTCTCATAAGGCTGTGGTGTGGGAGCAAAAGTGTTTATCTAAGCGATGACTTTAATCCCATCTCTCAGGACTTGCGCCTTTGACCCACTGCAGCTCCTGCTCCCTCCCAGTGGGACCTTACGTCCTGCAGAAGCCGGCCTGCTCTCCAGTTCACACCCTCCTGGCTAGTCCCCCGTGACCCCCGAGAAAGTCCTTCGCGAGTGATGGCTGGGTGTGGAGCCCAGGCAGCCAGTGAGGCTCAAGGTTCAGTCCCCCCAGGGACCAAAAGAATTGAGGGGGGAAATCCCACATTGGGAACCTTGAGGCAGCCGCAAAGTCTCCAGGATTGGGGGGAGGGGGGTTCCCCCTGGGTGGCCCCATCAGGCTCAGCACTTTCTGCCATACACGTGTGGCTGATCTGTGGGAGCCGGCACAGGGTTTACAGCGGAAAGAGTGATGTAAGGCCTCGCCGGCGAGCCAACCCTAAGACTGTGGCACTCTCTCTCGACAAAATTTATCGCCCTGGGAAGAGCTCCAAGCCCCAGGTTGAGAAAGAAATGTTTCCCCTGGTCAGAATGGCGCAGTCTGCCGGCCGACATGACACAACGCAGGGAGAGGGGCGAACTGGGCTAGCCAACAGGTGTCCGGGCCTCAACCCCGCGCCGCCCTCACTCGCTCTATGACCTCACATAGCGACCACGTCCCTTCGGGCACCTGTGGTGTGCACGGACCATCTCGCCCATGTTGTCTTACCCCAAGCTTCTATAATCAAGAAAGTGAACCATCACAGTTGAGTAGCACTGGGATTCCGGAGCAAGGGCTACGGCCACTCCCGTTCGAAAGCCTCAAGTCCTAGGTAAGAGATGGGCTTGAAGCAGGAGGAAGGCGAGTTCCTGCTCCGAGGTCGGGAACAGCCCAGCTTGCACTGCCAGGTCGTTTCTCTGCCCCCAGCCCACTCCCCGAGGAGGAGACTCTACAAAGGTCTGCATTTGCCCTGGCTGGTTTGGCTCAGTGGATAGAGCAATGGCCTGCAGACTGAAGGGTCCCAGGTTCAATTCAGGTCAAGGGCACATGGCTGGGTCTTGGGCTCTAGTGGGGAGCGTGCAGGAGGCAGCCAATCAATGATTCTCATCATTGATGTTTCTCTCTCTCTCTCCCTCTCTGAAATCAATAAAAATACATTTATAAAAATAAAAAGGTCTGCGTTTGGCAGACACTCACGTCCCCATCCTCAAAGCCATGCGGAGCTGCCTCTGGGAAGGAGGACTTCTCAGACCACCAGGGCCTAAAAGTCTCACAGGACAACCTGGGCACAGCGATGGGGCACAGCTGGTCACCCGGCCTGTGGACGGCATGATGCCGGCTGGCCTAGGGGGGTCAGAGAAAGCCAGTGCCTGGTCCTTGGGTCGTGAAACCGCTCCCCCAGGGGAGGAGGGAGCACTGGAAACTGCCATCCTCCAACTCTCCTGCTGTCTCGTCATCTGCAGCCTCATCCGGGCCACCCTGGGAGCCCAGGAGAGAGGAAGTCCCCGTCAGGTCTGGTCTCCTGCCGGGCCAGCACCTTGTGGGACATTCTGGAGGCTCCGGAGGCTCTTCGTTTTCAGAAGACACCGCAGATCAGGAGCGCGCAGTGGGCCCGGGCCCAGGACTGGGGCACCCCCTTGTCTCCTGTGACTGTTGGAGGGACAAGGTGGCTTGTTGGTGGACCTGCACGGCCTCGAAGGCATTCGAACAAGAGGCAGCAGGTGACATGGAAAAGGAACAGGCGGGGCTGGTCCTACCACCGACTTTGCTGGGGGACTTGCAGCAAGTCCTGGCTCTGCTGGCAGCTTCCTCTCTGTGCAATGAGCATTAGTGGCACCGAGGTGGCTGTGAAGGTATGTAATAGGCGCCAAGTGCATACTGAGCTTCCATCAAGCAAAGCCGGCCAACAG